CCTCTATCACGATATATAAACTGCCAAGCTGAGCTTGGTGGTCTTGTTGTTCTGATAGCATAGAAGGGCAGAGCTTGCAACTCCACCATCCCCTTCTCCATTCAGCAAAAGGGTTTCACAACCACTTTTGAGTCTTACAACGCGTGTGCTGCCCGCAGCAGAAACCGTGTCAAAACGCGGAAAAACCGCGTTTTTTTATTAAGGCCCTAAAAAATTAATTACAAAACCGTGTTTAAACGCGGAAACTGTGTGCGCTGTGCCGCGGGAAAACCGTGTGTAAACACGGAAAAACTGTGTTTTTTTATTAAGGTCCTTGATCTTAATTCATAATTTACATTTAATAATTCTATATCTAACTGTGAAATCCCCTTGACTATTGTACATATAATATCACTAGGATTTCACAGAAATAGCTTTAGAATTAATAAGGTATTAAAATAATATTTATTCTTATACATTATGTTCATATTTTATAACACATAAATTAATAACATAAGTATAAGAATCAGCTAGTAGAAGTGTGAAATGGATGAGGAATAAGCTATATACATTTATCTGAAGCTTACCCATCCTTGATCACATCATCAGGGCATCAGATTCCATCATAACCCTCTTGGATGGCGTCATCAGGACCCTTTTGTGCTCTAATTCAAAGCTTGCATAATTCAAAGTGGCCTACACGGGAAAGGAGCCCACATTCTACATGCAAGACTGAATTATGCATGAAGGACAGGCATTTCTCATGATCAAAAGCTTGCATAAGCAGAGTTCCACGTATGCAAACAACTCTACAATTGCACAGCCCCTGCACAGTAACTGTAGCCTTTTCAATTACGTGAGAAATAGGCCACAAAACTCAATTATGCATGTATGATCTCATGTCCTAGGACCTTCCACCCATGCATAGCACTGCACAGATGCAGCTTCCATCCTTACACAAAATTTTAGAGCTGCTAAGAAGCTCCCTAGTGCCCTGAGGGCCTCTCCTCTTCCCCTGACCCCCCTGTAGAATATTTAAGGAGCCCTGATTCCTACCTTTTCCCCCCAGGAAATTCTAGTAGCATCAAACCAGCACTTGTACTGTGATTATTAGTGATTCAAACCACCAATAACATTACAACCCAGCTACCTTAGACCTAAATAGATTTACTTTGCTCAGTATCAAGGCATTTCTACTTATCTCTATTGCATAAAGAATTATCCTCCAGGTTAAAAGATTCTGGTCCTTAAGTGTTGATACACTTTAATATCTGAATTTTTGTTAAAAGACTTAAAAGACTTATCCCAAGTGAGTTGAAGAAGGCCAGAGGATTGATCCGGATGCCCAATTGAATAATTGGATGAGTCAGCAGTAGAAGTACCATTCCTCACTGACTCCTCCCTGTTTCTTTTACAGGTTGAGGGATTTAACCACAAATAAATCTTCTTCATTACTCTTCTTGTTAACACTCAGAGCACAACCCTTACAGGTTAGTAGCATAGAGGCTGACACTTTCTCAGTCTGATTATATTAAATACTCTGCTTCCTTGCTTCTGCTCAAAGTCCTCATCTTATATCTATTACTAGCAGTTGCCCCCAATTTTGGGGAGTTGGACTTGGTGATCTTTTGATGACCTTTTGCCCCATTGGAGGGTGTTGCTTGAATTTTGATGAACTTTTTCCCCTTTGTGTTGCTTGAGTTGGGCACCTGTCTCAGTCTAACATTGGTGTTGACAAATTTGAATCAGAGGTTGACACCGGTGTTAGATTGCATGACCCTTTGTTAGAGTCTGAGCCTATTCTTTTATTTATATGTATATTTCCATCTCATTACTGGTATGCTTTTTTCTCTCATTTCTTTCTTTAGCTCTTCTTCTCTAATCTTGTTTTTGTTCTTTTTCATTTCTAGTCTGGTTCTGGTTTTTAGTCTTCAATTAAATATTTTTTAATTCAGTACCACCAGCCGAAACCACTCACATATTATTCCATCTTGGTGAAATGCCCTCATTTAAGTCAGTGCAACCAGCCAAAATCCCTTGCTTTTGTCTATACAAGGAGGCTCTTTCTCCTAGTTTTAATTTTTCCCCAGAAGAACTCCTGTGATCATTTCCCCACATAACAGGCAAATTCCAGCTCACTCTACAATATTATTTGTCCCCCAATATTTTGGTTTTACAATTATAACAACCCTTACACACAGTGTTACAAAATATTTAAATATAACCAAACCCATTCAGCACCTCATCCCCCCCTGTCAGACAACAGTGTATCTTTTGATACACCCCACTATCACTAATTAAAAGCTGAAAATCTAAAATTGGTGGTAGGTTTAGTGTAGTACACATGAAAGGCAGAGGTTACCTTGCATATCCCTTTCCGCACTCAGCAAAAGGTTCTCAGGAACAATCTTGAGATTAACAATGCCCTTCTCACAGTTCAGTGGATGCTTTGGCAAGAAGTTTCCAAAACTATTTGGGCTGAGTAGTGTTGATGATAGGTCAGCTATGCTGATTTTAGTTTCAGAGAAGCATAGCACAGAAAAATACCTCTAAAAGTAAAGATTTTTCCTGTTAGCTTATGTTAGCAGTATCATACTATTGCTGAAGGCCAAGGGGTAACTAATGTGGCCACTACACAGATTTACACCCCTTTCAAGAGTACATATAAACCAATAAGAGCACCTGATTAACAATCCAAAAATTATTATCAATAAACTGATCATATTTTGTGGATGAACTTCTTGTAAAATATTCATTTAGGTGCAAGAGGTCTACATTTTCTTGGGGAAATCTAGCTTTTAAGTTTTTTTTCTTGGGGGGGCTGCAGGTTGTTGAAATGACAGAAAGTCCACCAGATATTGACAACATTAAGATGCATTCTGTGGAAGTAAAAATTAATTTGAAGTCAATAATGGGCTAATCAAGTATCCCTCATTGTATATTACAGCTCAAGCTTCATGTGCAAAAGTTTTCCTGTCACCAAAGTTTCAAAAATTCTTGACTGATCAAATTGTTGGTAAAGAAAAAGTATTTTCCTCTCTTTTAAGTTTATGGCAAGACTATATTGTCAATTCATGAAGTAAAATGGATCAATCAATTCCTTTAGAATCATCATGCCCCACAATTGTCACAAGTGGGAGAGAAATTGATAATTTTACAAGGCAAACTCAATGAAAACACCCCCAAATCTCTTGTAATCTTGTAGGATTTGATACCTAATGACTATGCTTATTCCTAGTCCTTAAGGGCTACTTAAATACATGTATATGCATATTTCTGCCCTTTATTTTGTCTCCTGGAATCACATATATACATAAAAGAAAAGAAAACTTCACTCTTCTGAGTTTGCTTGATAAATCTCAAGGGCCAAACCAGGGAGGGTTTGGCTATAATTTTGAACTCAAGCCTGGTGCAATTTCCATATAGATGCCCAATGTCACTACATGAATTTGATTCAGCTCACTCCTCATACAACCATGAGAAAAATTTGCAATAAAACCACAGGGATTGAGTATAAACTAATGGTGGCTTATGAAGTGTAACCTCTATGTTAATGTTTCTTCCCTATTTTACCATCACACCTTCCTCTGGGAAATGCTGGTGCCATCCATGTTGGACCAATGATATTGTGTGGATCTTGCCTAGCATCTCACAAAAACTGAAAATCCTGTGGGATTTCTACTACATCCAAAAAGCCTTGCAAAGTCGCTGATTTCTTTGATCTGGGCCATCTGTACATGTGTTGGGATATGAATCCCGTATGTTAGTCATTGTATGCTTGTACATAGCATATGCTTCTACCAAGCAGACCATCTCTACATCACTACCGGTTTCTCACTCAGCAGATCTCTTTCCTCACTGAATACAATATCTGAATTCTCACTTGTCAAGCCCATTTGTGAGTCTAGACAGCTCCCTCAGTTTTCAGTCAACCTGGTTCCTTTCAACAACATGGCTGTGTCTAGATATATAGATGGCCTGAATCCAACAAATTGTGAACTTTGAGAGGCCTTTAGGAAGCCAAGGACAGGTCCTTGTTTTGTCAGATATGCAACTTTTCCACCACCAAAAACTCAAAAACTCTCAATCCAAACACTTGAATTTACTCACAAGCCCCTCCTTTGGAGGCTTGCTTTGCTTGGTCTTGACACACCTCCAATCAAGGAGATTTTGTTTAGCTAGGTCAGTGCTATGCTGCATTTGTTTGGCAATTCCTATACTACAGGGTGCTAATCTGGTCAAACAAACATTGATTGAACCAGTTTGTCTGACAGCAGCTGATAGGGGTTTATGCAATTTAATGAAGTTTCCTTAAGTTGTTTCAATTTCAAGTTGTTGATCACATATAGGGGAAATGTCAAGATTCAGTTTCAAAATCTGTGTTGGAGGATTGGGTTTGATCATCCATTGCATGTTCAAATGCATCTTGAGTTAATGGGAGAATGAAACACAGGTTTGATTAGGTGCGTAGATAGTGCTCCGTTTCAAAGAACCGCTCAAGTCCAGGATAAAATCCATGCCATTAACCGCATTCGCCATCTTTTGGAATGTTAAGCAAACTGAACGCAACTGCTGAGAAATCCCAGCAAGGAGGAAATAAGACGCCACAGTGGACGTGTAATAGTACCTGCACTAGTCACAAGCGAGAAAGGAGCGCCTGGCGAGAACTGACCTATGCTGTTAATATTTCAACACAAGCACAAAAAAACAGATCGGAATTTGAGTCTGAAACATGTTTTTGGGAAAAACTTGCTTAACTCTGCATTATGCGCAGGCACTGCATTGCTTGTCATCTCAGGCTCAAACCTCCCCATGGAAAGTCGGGGAATTGCGGGGAATAGCTGGCAGCACTCCTACTAATTACCACAAAGGCATAAAGGGCACCCTTGTCCTTCTGTCACTCAGGTCGCCCTCTGATTTCCAGGCCTTTTTGCTGATTTTAGAGATTAACTTCGTACTCATAGTCTTGTCAAACCTGGCATTTTCTCCGCTTTCTTGATTAACAGTCAAGACTTTTCACAATGTACAAATCACTATTCATGCACATAATTGCTGCCTTGAACCTCCTGCATGTCAAGGGAATTTCTATTTATGATACCCCTCTGCCAATGGAAAGGAAGTTGCTTGGCAACAAGTCTGGAGGCCATGTTACCAAGAATTTACTAAGCACAAACCAGATATCAAAAGTCAAGCCTGCACGCCTTGAAAGTAAGCCTGTTCCGCCGTAGGCCCTCTGCTCTAAATGAAATACATCGTCGGATAAATTCTTCTGATCTATCTTGTGGGTGTAGGTCTGGAACGCGGGCAAAACATTTTTGACCCAATCCGAGTTAAACAAAATGAGGGCTCCATTTTCACACTCGATTGTCTCGAGAATATGATGCGGGCGCACGCCCAGCTTCATTCAAAGTCAGAATCAGAAGTTCAGCAGGCTCTCAGAGTTATTCGATCCCAACTTTTTAAGCAAATCGGCGCGGACAGGAAGTGGCGATCAGGCGGTAGTATTGCAATCATGAACTTGAAGGCTTTGGAGGTCGTATTATTGAAAATAGACGCAAAAGACAGAGTCGATGGCAGCTTAACTGAGCTCGAGCGTTACGTGTTGAGGAATGCTATGCAGATTATTTACGATTTGCGTAGTTTTTCTGATCTTCGAGCTGAACGAGTTTGGTTCAGTCGTCAGATCAAACATTTCTTTGTAAACTCGAACTCCGTATTCCTGAGAGATGAATACTCCCAAGCAGGTAAAGTCTCGAAGGGCTTCTTTCATCCTAGTTGGAAATGATCATGTGAAAAAACAGAAGCATGATTTTCAATTTTATTTACTGTTTTTTTTTTGTTGGTTTTGGTCAATAATTTCTACCTCTGCAGTTCGTCGAGCTCAGATAGGCCAGGCTCCGCTTGATATAGCTCAATACGACCAGATTAGAGGAATTGTCAGGATTCCCGGAGGTCCTCACATGCCTCCTTCGCTATCAGGATTTCTCACTGCGCCCTCGCGAATCGAGGAAAGTCAGGTTTTCAAAAAGAACACGCCTCAAGACATCATTGATTTCGTAAGACTTTTTAATGCCCAGCAAGCTGAGATCAATGTCTCGGATTTTGAGCCAATCATAGAGCGCTTGGCACATGCCCTTGAAAACCCACCTTCAAGAAATCTCGATCCTCAGGCCAATTCCCTCAGAGTAGAATTGATCGGATTGGCTGCTCGAACTTTCGCTCTCAAAAATGCACAATCGCATGACGAGGAATGGGTTTTCCCATTTTTCACTCACCTTATGAGATTAACAAAACTCGCTTCGGGGCCAGAGGACCGCATCCAAGCCGAGGAGCTCGTTCAATTTTTACAACTGGTGAAGCCTTCCATACATAGACAGTTTATCCAGGAATGTAAGTCAATCCTATTTCAGTTCACTGAGACCGATGAGTATGAAGGACTGAATGCGATTCGGCGATTGCCGAAAGCAAGACCCAATTGTTTTGAAAGACATAATAGAGAAGGATTGTAAGCTGCTCGGGCGTCTCTCATCAAATTGATTTGAATGATAAATAAGATTGACTTTCATTTGTCTACCTCGATTCTAATTCATGAAAAAAGTCAAGTGTAACGGTATAAAAACTGTGTTTGACCGAGTCTTATCGAACGGGCCCGAGAAAGAGTTGAGAAAGACCGCTTTGGAGCTTCAAACTATCTTTGAGCGAATGCAAAACTTTCATTTCCATGGAAATCTTGTTCCTTCTCGAGTTGAAAACCTAAGACTGGAGAAAATACCCGGTCATCCACTTGCTTTGCTGAAAAACGGTACGAAAGCCTCTGATGGGGTCTAAGCAACAATTTGAACAAAGGGTTTATTCGCTGACTTTCATCATTTCGACATATTTCTGTCCGGGACTGAATGAACAGCACGATTTCCTCAATTCTTACAGGCCCTTGGTGGAAAATGGACAAGAGAAATCCAGACAATCAATCGATTCCAACCATCATCAGAGTTGGCGATCATTAGCACAGCTGATCTGTTTGTTGAGAGGGAAGCTGAGAATTGGACTAGGTTAACCAACGATTTGAAGCATAAGTTCTTATTGAGCTCTAGTGCTTCAACATCTTCAAGAATGATGGCTGAGGAAGTACTATTTGCTGGTGGATTGCTGGCATTCAAGAAATTCAGGACGCTCCCCATCCAAAAGAGAGGATTTGAGAGTCTTTACAAGACTAGTCTAACCACCTTGAAAAACTTGGAAAATGATATAATCTCGCAATCAGCTCAAAGTACAAAGAACACTATCTTGAGTTCACTGGCAAACAAGTTTTCGTATCTCATTGCAAAAAATAAAATTAGGCCAAAATCAATTACAAGTTAATTTTTTTCCAGTTGTTGGATTTGCTTGTAATTTCTTTTTTGAAGACTGGCCGGCTATGTTTCACTTATCACTCATGCCCAAATAGCGGCTCACTTCTCATTATATGCTTCTGCTCTGAAACTGTTTGGTCTCCAATCAGGACCCTTTTTGTTGTATTTCAGCTTCCCCCTCTGAAATCCAAACCTTCCTTTTATTCCAAGCCCACAGTAGTTGGACTGCTCTATTGTAGACTTTCATCCTGTGGAAGGAATCCCTGAGCACATTTTATTCCTGTCTGATCATCTCATTACCTATTCTTAGCCACCATCCACCATTTGTTTTCAGCTTTAGCCCCTGTTTTTGTTAATTCTGATGTTTTTTCTGCTTGGTTTCAATTCAAGTCCAGTTCTTGTCTTGGATGTTGGATTATATGCTTATACAGTAGTATGCTTCAAACAAACCACAAGACAAATCCTGTATTTAGTTCCTCTCAGGATTAGTCTGTCAGTTTCTTCCCTAGTGAATCAGAACCAACATTTTCTTTCTCACTGCTCAAGTGTCACAAGACGTAAGTTCTGTGAAATTCAGCCATTCTCTCCCCTGTCTGTCTCAACATTTGATTTAATCAACTTCTGAAATATTGCTTCAACACCTGCTTTGATTCCTCATGAAAAAACTTATAATTCAAAATATAATCCAAAAGAAGATTTGTGCCTTCCTTGTAAATTGATAGGAAGGGGTGAAATTTTATGTTTTTATAATGAGTGGAATTCAGTGCTTGTTTTTTCTCAAGAAAAACCTAAAACCCATACCATTGCACATCCAACATCCAGCTTGCAAGTTGGATGTACAAATAAACCTGCCCTGTTACAATGGCAACCTGTGAAATGTATGTAGCAGTTAGTGTCACCCATAATGGATTGTTTGACTGAAATCAAGCCCTTTTTCTTCAGCTTCCAACATCCCATGGATCATCCATTAGCATGTGTAACTAATATTAGGGCTATTGAACCAGTGACTGGAAATTCTGTCCTCCTGATTTACCCCTCCCCCACAAATCCCCCTTGTTTCTCCAGCTCCAAACTATTCTCATTTTCTTCCTCCTTTAGGTTACCTTAGTGGATCTGTCTTTTTGTTCATCTTTTTAACTCTTTGAAAAACCTCACATTCTGTTGATTACACTAGATTTTAAGATAATACTACATAAGATACCATATTATATTTAGTATATACTTCCTTCTTTGTCTAGTCTGGTCTTGTCTGGAAGAGCTCTCTCTCTCTCTCTCTCATCCAGAATGTTGAGGGGAATAGAGACTGTAATAATGCAATGATTTTGGAACTCACAAAGGGGATCTTTAAAGTGAGAATTATATAGTTGTTATTGGATAAGGAGAGGCACTAAGTGAGATTAGTGCAAGAGAAGTAATGTGGTGCTTGTTAGGAGCATAATCTAAATAAAAGAATACAAATACTACAATGCACAAATTTGCATACTAACAGTAGAAAATGTTTCTCTTTCCTTCCTTCTTAATCCAAGACAATTGTGCTTGCAAGAGCTCACTTTCACTCTCATATGGAATAGATTGAAGTAAGAAAGCTATAACAGGTTAAAAACCTTTCAAGATTCTTGAGTGTAGTCTCACCTCCCTATGACATAGGAATCAGTGAAGAGTGCAGAATTTTTGTCTCTCTTTCTCAGTTTGGCCTACTTCACTTCCCCTTTCTTACATATCTAGTACTTCTGATCCAGAATAAGCCCCCAGAATCATGTACTTGATGATCTCATGTTATAATCTGATATTTCTTTTAGTTATACTATTTTTAGGTCCATTTGTTCTGTCATTTACAAAATTTCCTACAAAACCAACAATTTACTTGCAGGGGTTTACTACTGCCGCCTGGTCCTTTACTGACTAAAGTCCTCTTGATGTTCTTCTGACTTTCTTTAGAAAATGTGCTTATGAAAAGAAGTGATGCATCCTTCTTCTTGTTCAAATTTTCATTATCCACAAGACATTCCAAGATAGTGGTGAATTTTCTCAAGTAATCCTTTTACTCTTTATAATCCTTCAGTCCTCCCTTTCTGGAATATTCTTCCGCTGTAAGAGTAAGACTCAAAAGTGGTTATGAAAACCCTTTTGCTGAATGGAGAAGGGCATGTTGGAGTTGCAAGCTCTGTCCTTTGGGGGGGGTTGATAAGCGCAAGCCAACCCCCCGCTAAATATGCGTTTAGGACCACATATGTATATATTTGGTGTGCAGGCAGGCACGCCAAACTGCAGGGTATACCCCCTGCAGGCAAGTGGCTTGCCTGCCTGCACGCCATTCTGCAATGGCGTGCAGGCGCGCACACCATTCTGCAATGGCGTGCAGGCGCGCACGCCAATCTGCAGCTGGCGTGCGCGAGGGGGGTTGGCTTGCACTTATCAACCCCGCTCCCCTTCTATACTATCAGAATAACAATACCACCAAGCTTAGCTTGGCAATTTTATATATGGTGATAGGGATAAGTTCGAGATGAAGCTGCCAATTGATATGTGTAAGGGTATGAAGAGGTTATTGATTAGTGGTTATGTTGATGGAGTTGTTGCAACGGTGGGCCAGTTACGCTAACTGTAGCGTTAGTGTAGCAAAAAACCGCTACAATTTAGCGTAGCGTAAGCGCTTTTCCCTTTTTTTGCGCTAACGCTACGCGCATGGGGAAAAAACTTGCGCTAACGTTTAGCGTAGCGTTAGCGCAATTCCCCCCATCTGCGCTAACGCTACGCGCGCAGGGCACAAAAAACCGCCCGCTATGCTGCGCTACAGCAGTTTTTAGCGGTTTTTAGGTGTTTTTTGCCGCTAAAAACGCTCTAGCGTAGCGGCGCCAGAGGCGCGCTAACACTACACCAAAACTTGGCTAGTGTTAGCCCGGCTACAAATTAGCGTAGCGGCGCGCTAACACTACACAAAAAAAGGAATTGTTGCCGCCGCTACGCTAACGCTACATGGGCCCGTAGCATAGTGTAGCGTAGCGGCCCACCGCTGGTTGTTGTTGTTGATAAATATGGCTGAGAGAACTTTTGTTTTATGATGATGATGAAAATTTTAAATGTGTATTTCATATAAAGCTGTAATTGTTATGTGGCTATGACTTGTAGTTGTTAAATAATATATAAGCTGGATTTATGTATAAAGGCGGTTGAGATGATACGGTCCACTGGTGGGATGATGGAGGGAACAACTGGAAGTCAGAAGCCTTCTTATATAGAAAAATGTGAGAGATTTTGGCCCCAGGGTACAGGCTGTGATATACTACTGCAAAGGGATGCATATGCATGAATAAAGGGACACATATGTATGAACAAAGGGTTGCATACATGCAATATCACTAATACAAAGGGATTCAATATAACTTGAAGGTATTCAATTTACTACAAAGGTATTCAGTATTGAATATTTATCCTGTATTCATAATGACTGTGGTTAGAGTGACAAATCCAAGAAATATCCTGTGACATGTTAAAATACGTGTAACTTCTAAACTATAAGAGATAAGGGTATGGTTATAGTGAGTGACTAGGGGTTATTTTACCTGGTGATTCCATTTTTGATCTCATTTTTACCATATCTTGAATGAATAAGGAGATAATAGGGGGTATCAAATATAAACAAATCCACCATTATTTAATTGACTGGTTTGGAAAAATCCACCCTTTTTTAAGAATTCTGGTCCTTCATTCAACCCCTTCTGGGGCCCATTGATGCAAAAAAATGTTTTGGGAAAATTGACTGGTTTCTAATGGTGATTTCTTATATTTGATACTCCCTAATAAGAAATTTTTATATTTTCTGTGTGCATTGATAAACGCACTCCCTCACCCCTCCCGCCCCTCCAAAAGGGGTGTGCAATCACGCCCACCTGTATCTGAGGGGTGGGTTTGATTGCACGTCCCTCAGAAGCCTGATTCTCCAAGGAAACAGGCTTCCAAGGGGCGGGGACTGAAACCCGCCCCTCAGAGAGGGGCGGCAGGAGTTGCCTGCCCATCAAGAACCAAGATCTTCTTGGTTCTTGACTGACGGGTTGCTCAATTGAGGGGCGGGGCCTGCAACCCGCCTCTCAACAGGCTTTGAACCTTACCGATCTGCCAATCGGTAAGGTTCTCTACCCGATTATTTCAGCAAACATCCTAAGATTTTTCGCTGACAGAATCAGGTCCTATCTCTCATCCTTGGGAGGAGAGAGAACCATGCCTGCTTCAAAGAAAATCAAGCCAGGTTTTCCAGCCAAAGAATTGATCACAGCTTGAATTTTTCCCGTCCAATCGTCCTTGTCATTGGTCATCAACAGATTCATAGCACGTTCAGTGATCCTAATCACATATTGTTCTTTTCTCCATCGTTGAGCAATTTCTGATTCTTGGATATGGTATGTCAGCTATTGAGTAAGAGTCGGATACCTTGAGGGAATCCGGATCCTAAAGCGGGATAGTGATAAGTTTTGAGAAATC